AGAGAGGCTCAAAGGAGGTTGAACCCACCAATGATGGAAGTTGTCAAGAAGGAGATACTCAAGCTTTTGGACGCCAATATGATCTACCCAATCTCTGACARCAAGTGGGTAAGCCCGGTCCAGGTAGTTCCTAAGAAAACTGGCATTACTGTGGTAGAGAATGCCGAAGATGAGTTAGTGCCCACCCGTGTTCAAAACGGTTGGAGAGTATGTATTGATTATCGTAAGCTTAATTCATCGACTAGGAAAGACCATTTTCCCCTTCCATTCATAGACCAAATGTTAGAAAAGTTAGCCGGTCATACTCACTATTATTTTTTGGATGGTTATTCAGGTTTTCATCAAATATCGGTTGCAAGAGAGGACCAAGAGAAGACCACGTTCACCTGACCTTTGGTACATTCGCCTACCGGAGGATGCCTTTTGGTCTTTGCAATGCACCGGCGACATTCCAACGATGGACGATTTCACAGTTTATGGTGATTCGTTTAGTTCATGCTTAGATAACTTGACCAAAATTTTAAAGAGGTGCATTGAAACTAATTTGGTTTTAAATTATGAAAARTGTCACTTCATGGTCAACCAAGGTATAGTACTTGGTCATGTTATCTCGGAAAGGGGTATAGAGGTTGACAAGGCAAAAATCGATGTCATAAAATCCTTACCTTACCCCTCGAGTGTTAGAGAGGTCCGTTYTTTTCTCGGTCATSCAGGTTTCTACCGGCGTTTYATWAAAGACTTYTCYAAGATCAYTCGACCCYTTTGTGAACTACTACAAAAAGAGGTAGACTTTGTCTTCAATGAGGTATGTAAGAGTTCATTTGATTTATTAAAAGATATGCTTACTTCTGCCCCTATCATCCGAYCTCCAAATTGGCAATTGCCATTTGAGATTATGTGTGATGCTAGCAATCACGCCGTCGGAGCGGTATTGGGACAGAAATACGGTAAAAGCTCTTATGTTATCTATTATGCATCACGATCACTTGATAGTGCACAATGCAACTACTCAACCACCGAGAAAGAGTTGCTAGCAGTTGTTTTTGCTTTAGAAAAGTTTAGATCATATATGCTTGGCACTAAAGTGATTGTCTTTTCAGATCATGCCGCATTGAAGTACCTGCTCAAGAAGAAAGACGCAAAGCCGAGGTTGATAAGGTGGATTCTCTTACTCCAAGAGTTTGATTTGGAGATTAGAGATAAGAGCGGAGCTGAAAATTATGTTGCCGACCACCTTAGCCGGCTAGTGTTGGATGGAGAGCCAAGCGCACTCACTGATGAGTTTCCAGATGAGCACCTTTTCTCCGTTTCGGGCGAAACCCCCTGGTATGCAGATATTGTTAATTATTTGGTTTCAAAGAGCGTCCCATGTGAGTTATCTAGACCCGATAGAGAAATGATTAGGAGATAGGCTCGTCTCTACATGTGGGACGAGTCGTACTTTGGAAACATTGTCTGGACCAAGTTATCCGGCGATGTATGCCCCAAGGGGAGTTTCAGTCTGTTTTACAGTTTTGTCACTCCCATGCTTGTGGGGGCCACTTCGGCCATAAGCGGACATACCGAAAGGTACTAGAGTGTGGGTTGTATTGGCCGACCCTTATGCGAGACTGTTATCGCTTTTGTAAGAGTTGCATGAGGTGCCAAATGACGGGAAACATTAGTTCCCGAAATCAAATGCCCCAATTTCCTATGCTTGTGTGTGAAATTTTTGATGTTTGGGGCATGGATTTCATGGGACCCTTTCCCGCATCTTGCGGTAATCTTTACATTATATTGGCCATTGACTATGTCTCAAAATGGGTTGAGGCAAAGGCCACTCGAACTGATGATTCTCGTGTAGTTGCAGATTTTGTCAAATCTCACATATTTGCCAGGTTCGGGATGCCCAAGGCCATCACCAGTGATCGAGGCACCCATTTTTGCAATAAGGTCATCGGCGCGCTTTTCAAGAAGTATGGGATTATCCATCGCATCTCCACCACCTACCATCCATAGTCAAACGGACAAGCCGAGGTAACAAATAGAGAAATTAAGTCCATTTTGGAGAAGACTGTGAACCCCAATCGGAAAGACTGGAGCTTAAGGCTTAATGATGCCTTGTTGGCCTATCGTTCAGCCCACAAGATGCCCATAGGTATGTCTCCTTTCCGGTTGGTGTACGGTAAACCTTGCCACCTCCCTGTGGAATTAGAGCACACGGCGTATTGGGCGGTGAAGACGTGCAATATGAATTTGGATGAAGCGGGATCGCATAGGAAGCTTCAGATTCAAGAGTTAGAGGAGATACAGAATGATGCCTACGAAAATGCTTGCATCTATAAGGCGAAGACCAAGGCGTTCCATTACTCTCGTATTTCACGTAAGTCTTTCACTAAAGGTCAGAAAGTTCTCCTCTATCACTCTAGATTAAAGTTATTTCCCGGTAAATTAAGGTCCAGATGGATAGGACCTTTTGTCGTTTTAACTGTTTTTGAGCATGGTGCAGTAAAGATTCAAAGTCTGTCTACGGGCCAGATATTCAAAGTTAACGGCCATAGGCTAAAGCCGTTCTATGAAGGCTTTGATGGAAGGGATTTAGAGAGGGTAGCTTTGGACACGCCAAACTACAAGAATTGAACCGAGTATGGTCTAGCCAAAGACATAAAAGAAAGGCGCTGCGTGGGAGGCAACCCACGAATTTCCATTTCTTGCTATTTATTGTTTTCAGTTATTTATTTTATTTTTAAATTCTCTAGTTTCACTCTTAGATTTCTGCATTCTCAGGTTCACCCCGGATGTTGGATGCTCGAAGAGACACGCCCATCTCCACGGATTCTTACATTGGGAGGTCACTCATCAAATCAGGGGAGTTTTTTGTTTCCTTTTCCTTAATTGCTTAAAGTGTCCTCTACTTATTGCATACCTTGAGGACAATGTATGAATTAAGTGTGGGGGTGAGGGTTATTTGCATGAATTGGGTATATAAATGGTTTTAGGGGCCAAATTTTTTCTTTTTTGCAAATTTTGTGCTTAAATGAAGATCTTTGTCCGTTTTAACAATGGGTTAGCATGCTTTTATTGAGCTTAAATTGTTGATGACAATGAGTTTGGATGCGTGTATAGCATGATTGAGCTTGATTGATAGCACTTAGAGTGATTAGTGGTAGCATATCGGTCAAAGTAGACTATTGYTAATCTCTTGAGCTAGTTTTGAACACCGTGAGACTTTAACTTTATTTAGACTAAACACTTGATATTAGTCTCAAATTCATTTCTTGTGTGATTGTGTCATGCCTAGATATGCGTCTCTAGAACTTGATCTTTCTCTCCTTAAGACTACATGATATTTACATGCTAATAAACATGATAAAGGCCATCATTTGCTATTTTTATGTTAAACCACTAGCCTTAAGCCTACCCCTTATGTTTTCATTATCCCTTTTGCACACCACTTTGAACCTTAGACTATTTTCTTTGTCACCCACATCATGAACTAATCCAAACACAACTCACCCGACTAAGCACCAATGGAGTGATCCCAATATCCCTGTATACTTGAAAGTAGAATTCGTATGTTTGGGAAGAGAAAAAAAAATGAAAGAAAAGATTGAAAAGAAAAAAAAAGAAAATTCAAAAGAGAAAAAAAATAGAGAAAATATATATATATGTTAAAAGCAAAATTACATCGTCAATAAAAAAATTAAAAATAGACGACGAAAATGACGATACGGTTGAATATAAGCGTTTCATTTTTATTCCCTATCGTCCGAAAAGGAATGAGCTTCAAAGATAGAGACAAAAGTCCTTTGTGAAAAAAATAAATAAATAAAGTGTGGTTAAGTTGCCGGAATTCTCCGTTGGTGTTAGGTCTTAGTCACTTTTCCTAAATATTTCCCTACCGTACCCAAAGCCTTGTTTTTCGTTACACCTTTTAAGACCTTTTGATTTATAAGCATGTATTTTATCAAGTAGTGGAGAGTGAGAGACTTTTCAAGTATATGGTAGGTACATGCTAGACATAGACGATTTGAGCGATACACTTTAACCCAATGAGTGAATCGAGTGTTCTTTTGTTAATCCCATTCGTGAGAGTTCTCGAGATTAGCTTGTGTCTACTTGATTGCGTGTGCATCCTCTTTTCAATGCTTTGTTGAAAATCTCAAATTCATGATATGCTATATGTGTTGACATTCTCGTTAGATCCGATTTTTATAACTACATGTTAACTCAAGTCATTGCCGGGACATACAATGATCTAAGTGTGGGGGAATTTGACAAGGACAAATATATATATTTTTACGTCAAAATTACCTTGCAATTAATGTTAAATATATGCTTAAAAAGGGCCAATTTAATTTAAGTTAATCCTAACTATATGAGGCCATTAAAGTTGAGAAAAATGTGTTGATTATGTGTTTTTTTTTGGCCCATAACAGCAGCCCAAGTTTGCTGCCCATAACAGCAGCCCAAGTTTGCTGCCCATAACAGCAGCCCAAGCCGTGTAAAAAGAAGAGAAGGAAGAAACAGCAGCCAAACAGCTGCTGGTGCATCCAAACAACAGCCAAACAGCAAGCTGTCTCCAAACTCTTGATGCTGCCAAGCAATTCCTGTACCCAAACAGCCCTGCACAGTCCAAAAGAAAATAAACAGCAGCCTATGAAAAAAAAAGAAGAGAAGCAGCAACAGGGCTGCAGCCCAAATCAGAAATAGAGAGAGAGAGAGAGATCGTGCAGCGAGAGATCGGGAGAGGGGGCAGCAGATCGTGGATCATGGGCGAGTACGAGGAGACGATTGGGGCTGTCGATATAGAAGGAGCAATTGAGAAGGAGCAGCAGTCGGTCGAGAGGGACAGAAAAGAGAGGGGGTCGATCGAGAGCAGTAAAGACAGAAACCGAGAGAGGCATAAATCAAAAGAGGAAACTGTCGATTGAGAGACGAGACCCAGAATCTGTCCAGAAGGTTTTGAAGCTGTCGATTGAGAGGATTTTCTGGGGGAAGCAGAAAATCGAGAGGACGGGTAGAAATTAGCAGGCTGTTTCGATTGGAGAAGTCGGAGAGTAAAAAGAAGCAGAAGTCAGAATCGATGAGAAGCAGAAATTGAGAGGATGCAGTAAACAGATTTTCAGAATTTTTGGAGTCGATTKTGGATTTCTCAATTTCAGTTCTTCATACTCTAGTGCTTTCWACCATCTGTAAGTTSAATTTMTGATTCAAAATAGAATTATGAGTTGCTAATTTTCTGTTTCTAGTGATGAGATTATAGTTAGTTTGCATTGAACTTTGTTGAGACTTGTCTAACATTGATCCTTAATTGGATTTTATTTGCACAAATTCATGTTCTGAATCGTTCTTCATTTTTGGGATTTTGGTTTTGAGAAGGATCCCTTGAATCYTTTAGCCTAAATTTGAATTGYTAGTCGTGAWTAGGAACTTGYAATTGTTYTTAATTTCCACTTGGTAGCAAATAGTGCATCAATAGACAATCAAGTTCATTGGGTTGCATTATAGGACTRTGTAATCTAGCTTAAATGTTCGGGCTTCCGTTCATTAGTTAGGATTGGWGCTTGTTYATTGCGTAAGGYGATTGGTAGGTTGAATTTTAYGTCCGTGACTAGAATCAACTYAATCAATTAGGAACTAATCTATCGAGCTTCTCGTGTTAGTTTAATTATAAAGACAAGCGGAGTGTTTGGCACGTGTCGACACTCACGACCGGTCTAAAATATATTAAGAAAATGTTTTTATACAAGTCAATGATACATGATTTGATAAAGGACTAGTTATACTCATCACTAGAATTCATTCGTTATTGTTTAAATTCTCAATTTATTTTGCATATTTAAGCTTTTTATAAATCTTCCAACCCCCCCCCCCTTTATATATTGTTTTAATGTTAATGAATTTGCACGCGTTTACGTCTTGGACTTACGGTTAACACCGAGTCCCTGAGGAGACGACCCTACTTATCGCTATCACAAGTTGTGTTTTAGAGATAATAGGCTTATTTTCATAAATTTTATTATTTGCCGGACTCGACACCCGTCACATCACTATAAACTTGAAACACACCAATGTCAGACGGCAATACAAGAATAGGTGTGGTAACTAATCGATGCTTCAATTCCTCAAAACTAGATTCTTATTCAGAACCCCAATTGAATTTGATTCCTTTCCGAAGTAATCGAGTCAACGGCAAAAATATTTTAGAGAAACCTTCAACGAATCGTCTGTAATAACCAGCCAGACACAAAAAACCACGAACTTCAGATACGTTCGTATGTCGTGCCCAATTAGTGATGGTTTCAATTTTCGCCGGATCGACTTTGAAACCTTCAGCGGAAATTACGTGTCCAAGAAAAGGCACTTGATCGAGCCAAAACTCGCATTTGGAAAGTTTTGCGTACAACTTTTTTTTTTGAAGAGTCTCTAAAACGATTTTGAGTAGATCAAGATGTCATCAATAAACACAATAACAAATTCATCAAGATAATCCTTGAAAACCCGATTCATAAGATCTATAAAAACCGCTGGAGCATTAGTTAGCCCAAAAGGCATTACTAAGAATTCGTAGTGCTCATAGCGAGTTCTAAATGCGGTTTTTGGAATATCACAATCTCAGATATGAAGTTGATGGTACCCGGATCGAAGATCAAATTTGGAAAAGTATTGTGCCCCTTGTAATTGATCGAACAGATCATCGATTCTCGGCAACAGATACTTGTTACGGATCGTTATAACTTGGTTGATGATTGATTTCAAATTCATTTTTTCCTTCTTTCACATACTTGCCTCCATCTTCGAATATATCACATTCTCATGAATTTGATGCAATACCTTAACATGTAACTTCTTTACATATAGGTTTATTTTATCTTATTTTACTAATAATAATCATATAATTAAGTTTAGTTAATACAAAAAGGTTATCATAGATTCAACTTTAATTATAATAAATTAAGACAATCAATAAATTGTTTGTTATATTATTTTAAAGTTTTTAATTCAACTTTATAATATAAAATATACACTAAAACCATATCATTATCTTTCATTGTTATTTTAAAGTAATTTTTTATAAAAGAAATGATATAAAAATTAGGTCATCCAAGTAAGATAACTTTATAATCAAGCCTCATGAGTTGACACAATGAATATCATCATTCTTATTTATACATACCTCCTTATTCCGATATTTCATCTCTCACCAATATGGGATATCTTAAATTCAACCATGATTCCCCAACACATCAATACCTCTTGGTTGGCACGGTGATCAAAACTCAATTTAAAAAAAATGTAAAATCCTCGACTCGTGTTTATATTTACAACGCCCCGTCCAACACCGTAAATCACGATTTGGAGAATACTAACATCAGATGAAAGCACGTCATTAAGTCAACATTTCCATTCTATATATAAGTGATATAATAGATACTTAAACTACATTTGTTATTATAAGTACTACAATAATCACACTTTTGTTAAGAAAAAAATGTATTATTTGCATTCGTTTTGCACAAATCTATTACCAATTGGTTGGTTTTAATTCAACCATGGTTATAGATTTCAAAGCTCTATCACGCATTTATACATCCATCATCTTCTTCCAAACTATTATATGTCTACCAATGTGAGAT